CTAGCGTTGTAAGTCCGCAGAGATACCGCTGTGCCACTGGGGGGGGGGGGCAAGTACAGAGTAAAAATATAGAAAGTATAAAATATATATGAGAGACAAATTGAAAATAAGAAATTAAATCGTCCAAAAAGAAGATTAAACTATTATAAATACAGAAACTCGAAAATCTTCACGGTGAAATTTCAACCATAACTTGATAAACATAGCAACATAATTTCTGATAAAGATAGCCACCTTAATGGCTTGATAACAACTAATGTTGCATTATTAACCGATTAATGATATATTATCTAACTGAGAATAAAATGCCAACTGAGAACTGATGTAATATATTAATATTAATCTGTTTATTGATTATTTGTGAATATTTCATCTACTTTTTGAACTTCCAGCATGGGGTCATCTTGAAATATTTCCTTCAGACATTCAGCGTTCCTGTTGCTTCTGCAAACAACTTAAAAATAGTGATTCCGTTTTTAATATCTAGTATCCAATCTGCTTTCTCGTAGCTCTTTTCATTATATATATTTTGGCTCTAGTCGTTCGAATAAAATGTATGTATGTTATTTGGAAGTAAACGCGAGATTGTGAAGAAAGCTTGAAAAACTCTTGAGGAATTTTATGACGGTAAAAACAGGGACACTTTAAGAAATAAAAAAAACAACCCTTGAGGAATTTTATGACAGTGTAAATACATAACAGGGACATTTTAAGAAATAAAAAAACTATTGAGGAATTTTATGACTGTGGAAATACATAACAGGGACACTTTAAGAAATAAAAAACAACTCTTGAGGAATTTTATGACGGTGAAAATACATAACAGGGACATTTTAAGAAATAAAAAAACTATTGAGGAATTTTATGACGGTGAAATACATAACAGGGGCACTTTAAGAAATAAAAAAACAATGATAAATCTGTCTTTAATAAATATTCGTAATAAATTTATATTACACTGAAATAGTTTATACAGTGCCCTGGAATAATAAAAGAAGCAATCTTCCCATAAGGTTGACACAGACGATATGAATCTGTAATACAACAGAAGCACAAAACTGAGCATAAACAGACCCATCGGTACTTATTTACTTTGCCTTTTCCATGTTTGAAAGGGTTCATGTTCAGTAGAGTTATGTATATCATGGACATATCGTAGGTATTTTCAACAATAACAGTGGTTTTAGAGGTGCCTATACTCATATGCCAAGGTACTGTATATTCGTATTAAATGTTAATTATTTGCAATTGGGATTTTTCCAAGACTAGTTTTTTTATTACAACTTTAGATAGCCAGTTTTACGTTTATTTATACATAATTTCTTTTAGAACTGCAAAAATAGAAATAAACAAAGTAATGTAAAACTTCCAATATTTAGGAAATATTTATGTTCTCTTCTTGTGGTTAACATTTTCATGTAAACATAAAAACTTTTACATCACGAATTCAAGACTTAGCCCACAACTATCACGGTATTATATTTTGTTTTTGTTTTCTTACTATTCTTGCTGCGAAGATTAAAAATAATTCAATAGATAACAAAACGAAACAAAACATTTCTCAAAAAGGTAGCACTTTTGAAATATTTGGTTCACTTTCCCCTATTTTCTGATTTGTCTAGGCTAGACATGAAGGCGTTGGGGGCAATAACAAATCTTAATGAGAGGAGAAATGGAGTAACAAAAGTAAAGAAAATATGGAGACAATTCTGTAGATCATTTAAACTATAACTAACCATGTTATAAAATATATATATAGAAATTGTGGTGGTATATATTTTTCTATAAAGCAGATATAAATATAAGAGGTCCTTACTAGGGCATTTCGGAGGGTCGCTCTTAAAGTAGACATGATCAGGACAAACAGATCTTGCCGTTTTCCCACCTGGCGTATCTGACCAGCAATGCCAGCCATCCCAAGTTCGTGGACAATGCGGATTGTCTACAAACGAACAAACAAACAAAAAGTATAGCTATTCATTCATTACGACACTTTTTATATAATAAACAGGTTCGGTACTTATGTTAAATGCTACAAAGCTTCAACCTACCCTTCATCAGTATATTCTATCCGTATTCAAATGTATTTTAAAGTAAAAAAAACTGACACGAATATGGCGAGATATACGTTTGTTACTGATTTAACTCCACCAAATATAATGTTTTGCTTCTAATCAATTATAGTTTATTTCTTAGAAGCTGAAGTACCCGTACCCGTTCTTTGTAGGGGATATGAACTTTGAAAAAATTTGAGGGTGGATGCTATGATAAATAACACAAATATCCTACCTTTCACACAATTTATTTATAACATAACACATTATTATAGTATTCATTATTACCTCACCAAAAGTTTTGTATAAGCTTTAAGAACTGAGTATGTATATACTTAAAATATGGTATACACTGTGCAATGGTCAGGGTGACTTTGTAAGAGGTAGTGGAAAAGTAGTGGCGGTAGGGGTGCTTTCTGTTACCCGCTTTCAACGCCCAGCTCTTAATGCTCTTCTACAGCGTTTTACGTGATTAGTTAACTGACGGTCATTTGCCGTAGAATTGTCTTACGGGCCGAAGTTGTGAGGTCACGGGTCAAATTAGGAAGTTGGTATAACTCAAGAAACGGCTATTCATATCAGTCTTATGGTGGTTGTTGGAATAGAAACTTCAGTTGAGTTTATGTATTATTGCAATAGTGGTAGCCATTTTTTTCACTGCATTCCACTATAGACAGTGCTAGCGCACTCTCTAACATATATGACGTTTGTGTGGCCTCCTCAACACTTTGTGTATGTTGTGTTATAGAAAACTTATTTTTTTTGTGTAAGAACATGGCACCATCTATGAATGTAGTTAATGTTAACTTACATCGAAGATAATAGCTGCTCACTAACAACAACAATGGGGGTGGAGAGGGTTGCGAACCCCCAATAACATGCCCCTTGTTCCAAACTATTATCCCACAAAATTTGGTTAGGATTGGACCAGCGATTTAGCAGTAGCTAAATAAACGGACAAACAGACAGACTCACAGATTTTTGTGCTTTATATATATATATTTATATAGTGGAACATATATATATATAAAGACTCCTACCAGAAGTAATATCTAATTATGATTAGGTTTAGTCTTAATGTAAAGAGCACATTCAACATTTTCAATATTCAACTGACAGTATAGATACCCAATATAAAGCTAAGCGACATATAGGCAATGAGTTTATTTGAAATATATTCTTTTTTACTTGAAAAATATGTAAAGGGTATAAGAGAGAGAGTTAAAACAAGACCACCCCACAACCCCGATTTTGTTCAACCTCATAACTTAGGCCAAAAATAAGTAGAGTTCAATATGTGGGACAGGCTGATAATAGTGTTGTATAATCTACGGAATGGAAACTGTAAAGCGTTACTTAGTTAAGAAGGTATATGCAGGGTAGGGCCAACGCAATAATGGCGATATACTGTCTAATAGGTTTAAGCCAGGTGTTCTTTATAAAACAGAGAAACAAGGAAAGAAAGCAGAATATTAAAAATGATCCAGTGAAGGTGATGAGGAAATCTTGTTTTCTGAGGTTGAAATGTGTGCAGTAAAATAATCTCTGTTAGGATTAAAAGTTGGATAACATATGTAAATTTCTACAAGAAATCGAACTGAGCTTACAGTCATATCGTACCAGGATCCACACCGATTTCAGTAACAGCTCTTAGATCTTCTTGATTGCAGTTCATAAAAACCATGTATGATTTATTGTATTTTACGTTTGATTTATTGACATTGTTTGCGGTAACAATGAATAGAAACATCTTTTTTACATGTGCTAAAAATCTAATTTATATAAAAGCCAATGTGTCACGTCACATCACGCTTGATTTCTCGAAATAAGAGGAGTCATAAAAGTCAAAATGCATTTATCCAGATAGAATAGCTCGATTACTGTTTACCTATTACGATTTTTTTTGAAGGGGGTACAAGGGCTCGTGAAACCTTATAAGTGTAGTGAGTGTTGGGATCACTTAGCCTGCAGTCAAGTGCATAAAATTTATCATGAAATTAAAAATATCCATTAAATTTTAAACTTAATTC